GGCTCGAGGGCTCGGGCCCTGGGATAGGGAGCCTTCTCCACATCAGGCTGCGTGTGCTCAGTACAAGTTTCTAAGCAGTGTCAGAGGGTCCTGGGGCACTTCGTGGTGTATTCTAAATTTAGCACTGCAGCGGCGGGGGAGGAGGTTCTGTTTGTGTTTTTTTTGGGGGTTTTTTGTAGGGGGGGGGGGGGGTGTCCGAAGCTCTAAGCAGGGCTTGGCCCAGGCTTTGCTGGCCTGCCCTCCTGATGGGGGAGAGTGAAGTCAGAGCCAAATAGAGAGGCTGGTGCAGGCAGCTCTGAGGGCTCCGAGCCCCTGCCCCCTGAGCCAGGCCTCACCCAGGCACCTGGCCGGCAGCCTGCTGTTCCCTGGCCTCTGCTCTTCTGTTCCCATCTTGCTGGACGGGTCTGCCTGGTGCACAGACTTGGCCCTGCAAGGCCAGGTGGGGAGATGGGAGCTCTGCTTCCTGGCTGGGTCTTACCAGGCACCTCTTGCAAACCCAGGAAATGTGACATCGCCAACAGCCTGGGCACCGGCCAGGGGAAGGGCAGGGCTCGGGGTCCCAGGAGGAGCCCTGGCTGGGAAGCTGGCTGATCGCAGCCTCAAACAGCAGCCAGGGAGGTGCAAGGAGACACAGCAGCCCGCCTCCCCCCCAAGGGTGAAGCCTGCTCCCATTCCCGTGGGAGCTCCAATTTCATTGCGGGAGGAAGTTAGGAACCAGGCTCAGAAATCAAACGATTGTGAGACCCTGGCCCTTCGACCTCTCCCAGAGGAACCAGCCCCAGGAGGTGGGAAGGTCCCTGAAAGGTCAAGGCTGTGCCTGGGAGTGGCTGTGGGCATTGGTGCCGTCAGGATGGGGCATTAAGGAAGCATCGCCCCCACCTCCTCTGTTCTCAGAGAAGCACAGGGCACTTGGAGTATCTGTAAAGGTTTCCATGTTGTAAAGGTTTCCATCCCAGAACACACAGCCGTAAGTTAAGAAAACGGGACCGCGGGTCCGAAGCAGGAACCAGTCTTCAGAATTCCCACCGGAGTTAGTGTTTGCGGGACAGTGACTTTGCAGACGTGGCCGCCTGGGCCCTTGTTTCTCCTGGATTCCCAGGCCTGGAACTCAGGGGCTGCCCCTGACTCTGTCCCCAGCGCCCTCCACTCCTGCCAGACCCTGTCACCTCCTGGGCCTCCTGCAGGCGGCAAAGGCCAGAATGCTCCAGGGAGCTGCACTGACGTTCCGGAGGCCACTCCAGGCTGGTCACAGGCCTGCTTTCTGTAGGAGCATGGCTTCCACACACCCATCCCCACAGCCCGCACTGCCACCAAGCGCTGACACTCATGACCAGGTTCCACAGTGTAACGATAGGCCCCTGAAGAAGAGAGAGACTTTGGTCCGCACGCTCACCCCTGAAGCTGTTCAGGGAAGCAGTGGGTGCTGCAGTGTGTCCCTGGAGCACCGTCTGTGGGAAGAAGGGCCAGCCCCCCAAAAGGAGCTGCTTCGAACACAATGCCTCCCTCCTCGCCGTGGGTGGTAAACCCATGGTCAGAGTCCCAGGACACACCGCCCGTAAGTTAAGACTTTCCCGCTGGTGCCCGTATGTGAATCCTGACATGGGTGACCACGTGTGTGCCTTCGCTCCTTGACATTCGTTCAGCCTGAAATACTAGTTCCTTAGTTCTCCCTCGGCTCACTCCCCCGATGCAGGAAAAAACCGAGGCCTAGTCAGGCTGGTGTGGTTCAGAGTTTGAGCGTCAACCCAGGAACCAAGAGGTCACCAGTTCGATTCCTGGTCAGGGCACATCCCCCCGTTGGGTTGAGACTTGACCCCCAGTGGGAGGGCATGCAGGAGGCAGGCAGATCAGTGATGTCACTTCTCATTGATGTTTCTATCTCTCTATCCCTCTCCCTTCTCTCTCTCTTTAAAAATCAATAAAAACATTTTTAAAAAATTGAGGCCTATTATTAAATTCCATTATGCTTGCATCTTTCTCCATATCATTGTTTCCCTCCCTAAATTTTATTATATTCATTGGCTTATTGTTTTTCTCCCCCACTAGAACACATCATGAAGGTATGGATTTTGTCTCAGTGTTCACTGCTGTATTACCAGGACCTAGGATAAATAATGCCTGACCTATAATAAGTGCTCAATAAATATTTGTTGGAGGAATGAATAATTGTGTGTGTGCGAGAGAAAGAGAGACAGCTTGCATGGGTGTGAGTGTGTGAGGTTGGGGGGGGTGCACACGTGTGCTCATGTGTGTGTCCCTGTATATGTGTGCGCACACACGCGATGTACTGGGCACCTGGCCTCTGTGATATTTGGGGCGTAGCCCTCTTTAATGGAGCTGCCCAGGTGCCTCCCAGCGGTGACCCTGCTTGTGCCTTGCTTTCTCAGGAGGGAACACGTCTGCTCCTGCTGAATCCATGGTCAGTGCTGTTTGGATTAACAAGGAGAGGAGGCACTCACTGTCCCAGGACAAGGTGGACCCTGAGGCAGCGGGGATGCTGGAGGAGGCGGACAGTGGCTATCTGCAGGTCCCCAGGTCTCCATGGCACACGCACCTACAGATGTACTGCTCGGTCCAGACCCTCCACCAGGACGCCGGCCAGCAAGTCAAACACCAAGGCATGTTCCCGGGCTCTGAGCAAAGGCTTCCTCAGGAGAGAGACTCGGGCTTGTTGAAAAGCAAGCAGGTGACTCAGCAAGAGACCACGACCCCAGAGGCAGCCCAGCATGAACATCAAGTGGACCATCCCCAAACACAGACAGTGGGGTCCGGCTTCCACAACGGCCTTCAGGGTCCTTCCTCCATCAAGAACCCACAACGGCCTGGAAAACCAGCGCACTATCCATTCCCCCAGAGGAAAGCGCCCAGGATCTCCCAAGCTGCCCGGAACCTGGGCTTATATGGCCCCCCCTGAGGCTTTCTCCTCAGCCAGATGTCCCAGCCTTGAGGCCAGCTCTGGTCTCATCACAGAACCCGGAGGCAGAGCCACCAGGGGGACCCCTCGCTATCAGCAGAACTGGGCTACCTCACTGGTAGGGATTGTGGGAAATGAACTTCACAGCGGGCACATGGTCTTGTCCTTCAGAAAAGAAGAGCTTGCCCAGAGCAGATGGCCCACCGTTCAGGATGAAAGAGCGCTGTCTGACCCATGCAGCCCGTTCCGCTCACACAGGAAGACATTGCTACGTTGCTGGGGAGCCCTGGAGGCCCGTTCCTCAGGGAGGTCCAGTAGGACACCTGCTCAGTCCCTAGAACCAGGGAACCAGTTTGAAACATAAAACAGGGACCCTGGCCAATGGGATGCCCTAGCAGTGCCCCGGAGTCAACGAACGTGGACAATCTGGTTTCCAATATCTTCTGGTGATTTCTCACATGTTCTGGAGAAATGGGCTCTGAGGATTGGCTTTTTCTGGTTGCTCTGCCTGGAGGCCAGCTCACGTACAAGTCACTACGTTCACTGTAGTGACCACACCATTTCAGCTTGAGCTTCCCAAAGTATGGTCACCCTGGGTAAAGAACAATGCCACCTGCCACTTTGTGTTTGAGGGGTGTTGGGAAGGGTTGGTCACCTCTCACCTCTCACCGAGACTGCACATTCCAGTGTCATCACAGATTTACTTCCTCCTGTCCTTCCCTTCCTTCCTTCCTCCCTTCCTTTCTTCCTTCCTTCCGTCCTTCTTTCCTTTTCTTCTTTCCTTCCCTTCTACTTTTCTAGTTGTCTGTCATCTCTCTCTTTTCCTCCCTCCCTCTCCCCTCTCTCCAAATTGAATTAGTAAACACTGACAATCTATAGTAATAGCAGCCTGAGCAGAAGCAGCCAAAGAAATGCTCCTGCTTAGAAAATGTGTTTCCCACAAACTGCTCCCTTTTCAGCCGAATGTGGGTCACTCTGGTCCTTCTGGGATATTGTAAACCGAAGAGAAAGTACAGCAGGTGTTACTTGGGTGTGATGGGGAGTAAAGTATGTCTTTCCTGGTTAATGTTTGACTCCAGTAATGATATTTAAACACATCTAAGGTGCCTTTTCCTCATATCAATCCCTCTCTGCAAAGTTTCACCCCTGCCCCCACCCCCCGACACACCCCATGGCGCAGTCTTGCCTATCCCCTTCCAGGATTGTCATTACAAGTCAAAAATACATATGTGCCTGCTCCGTGGACCATCCAGAAACGCACTCCAATGTGGAGATTCATTGTGATTCCTTTTGTGAATAACTAATAAGAGCTCGTTGTTAATTTTTTTCATTGTTAACTTTTTAATAGTCTAATGAAAAACAAGAAAAATTTCTGAAAAACACTGTGTCCTTTGCTTTTGTTTTTAAAAGGATTCCCCACTGAACCCTCCTTACTATAGTGTATCAGTCAGGATAGGCTGTGTTTTGCTGCAGAAACAACCCCCAAATCTCACAACAGAATCTTTTTTTCTCACTCATGAAGTCTACTGCTGATTTCGGCAAACTCACAGGGCAGCTTTCCTGCATCTATTACCAGCAATTCAGCCTGCTTTAATCTTGTGACACCATTTTATCAGTACTGGCAGGAGAAGAAGCTATGCATTAATAGTCATGTACTGACTCTCATCAGTTTTACTCCCATTTCATTGTCCAAAGCAAGTCACATGGTCAAATCTCCACATGAAGGGTATGAGAACGTACAATCATCCCATGTGCCAAGAAGGAGAGAAGAAATGGAAGCATGGGTGAGCAGCACCAATGGCTAACACAGGTACATAGGGGCCAAGCCATAGCACAATACTAGGTTTAATTCTGAATACAATACATAGCCATTAAGGGATTTACATACAAGACGAAATTTATTTTGATTTGCAAATTAACCAGATCACTCTGGTTGTTCTAAGGAGAATGAGTTGAGGGTCACCGTAAGAGGCAATGTCAGGGGGAAAGGGCCATGGCAAGTTCAAGTGGGAAAGATGCTGTTAGTTCAAGCAAGAGTGACAGCAGGGAGATGGAGAGAATGTGAATACATCTGATACATACTTTGGAGATAGAATCAATAGGATTTACTGAAGGAAAGCCCTAAGTTCAGTTTGAAGAAGACTGAGTTTGAGATGCTCACGAGGCACAAAAATAAAGATATCAAATAGACATGTGGATAAATGAGGCTAGGTTCTGGGCTAGAC